TCATGCTAAAAGGCCATGCCAGGGAAAGCAGCGTACGCATAGCGCTGGCCAACCGTCCAAGTGTCTCACTTTCAGAACATCCAGCTTGTCGTGGCGTCCTCTCCACACAACTGGAATCACAACCTCAGCTTCAGGAATGTTGAGAAGAAACCAGCTCGGAATCGATGTGCCAGTGCCCCTATACTTCTTTGGCTACAAGTGACCCACCGACGCAAACACGACGGTACAGCGCAATCAATCAGAATGTTGTAGAGATTCATCGTCTGCAAGATTGGCTCCGCAGTCACCCACTTGCAAGTAGTGTAAATCCAAATAGTCTAATGGCAAGCTGCCTAATGACTGGGTCATGCTTTTATCGCGAACCTTTACTTGACAAAGTTGGAGGGCCATGCCCTGAATCGAACACAGCTTGTCGTAATCATGGTGTCTTGGAAGCCGGCAAGCGAATTTGTAAGGTGGCTTTCAAGCATCCTGACCATACACAGGAGAAAAAAAAAGCTCAAAACAGCACCCAGTGCGAACAAAGTAGTTGAATTCGGCAATTGGCTTCGATGATCTGTCAGAGCAAATAATTGGCGATCGCTAAATGCAACATCCACGGAAAGCAAACTCAGTCCACTCTTTAAGAAGCCTTGGCATCAAGTGGTCACTCACTCCTTCAAGACGCTCTCCGATACTCGCCAGGTCATGCTGCATGTTCATATCATAACCGAATATAATATACTCGATATTGCTTGGAGCCATGAAAGCTGAACAAGAAGTTTTCTTGTTTCATTGGGCGACCTGCTCCACAAAGGGGGCTTGGAGTGCATGAACACTACTGGTATCACGGCTCACCCCTTGCTGCTTCAGTTGGTGCAAGCATGCCTGCACTTGAACACTGCTGCAACAAATGTCTGCAAAAGGCAGCACGCGATAAAATGTAGACAATTGCATAAGTGAGGGACACAAAGGGCAGCCTCTTCGCTGTACCCGCAGCCTGATCCGATCGCTGAGGCTGCTACGAGATCATGTTGTCTTTGCAAATGCTCCTTACCTGGCCAAATAAGATTGCCATTTTTGTTGCAAGTTGAGAACACAGCCAATTCAATGCATGTCAAGCACATGGCAAAGAGGCGCATCTTTTCAGCATCTTCCTGTCATTCACGCACCACCTCTTGTGTGCCGCATTCCCACCGCTCGTCCTCCCACTCACGCGCTTTACGAGCTTGTTTTGCGCTCTTGGTGGACTTTGCTGCACCGCTCTTGGCCTTCAAGTGCTGAGATGCGGCCGGAAAACTGCAACGATTAAAGGGTGTGCACATCACCGCAAAACACACAGGGCCTTGTGTTTGTGCGTCCATGCCTGCGCTGTGCGCGCCGCGCGCAAGCGTGGTCGTGCGCGCGGGAATGTTCGGGTGCAGGCGCAGGCGCGGGTGTGGAGGAGCCTAAGCGCCCACGCCGGGCGTGCGAGCGGGCGTATGAAAGTAGGGGCAGCGGGTGGAAATAGGTGCATGGGTGACTAGGAGTGTTTGCGTGCATGCTTGCATGTGTGCCCGTGTGCGTACGTGCGTACGTAGGCGTAGGCATGGGCGTCGGCGTGGGCATGTGTCTTTGTGTGTGCGTGTGCGTGTCTGTGTGTCTGTATGTCTGTCTGTGTTCCTGTTTCTCCCTGCGTGCTTGTGTGTTGGTGTGTGTTTGCTTGTGTTTGTGGGTTTGTGTGTGTCTGTGCGTGCGCGCCCGTGTGTGTGTGGTTGTGGATTTACGTGCTTGCGTTTGTCAGTTTGTGTTCACTTGTGTGTTTGTGGGTTTACGTGCTTGCGTTTGTCAGTTTGTGTTCACTTGTGTGTTTGTGGGTTTATGTGCTTTTGTTTGTCTGCTTGTTAATTTGTGTGTTTGTAGGCTTATGTGGGTCTGTGCCGAAACAAGGTGCTCGATCCGGGAAGTTTGGATGGGGGGTATGGTTCGCGGGTATGATTCAAGGTATGATTCGCGGGTATGATCCGGGGTATGGTTCGCAGGAGCTGAAACGTTTGTTGCAACAGTAGCTGCGCTGACAACCTGCCATTGGCGAATTCCGCCCGCGTGGTCATAGAGCCACGTGCACAAACAAAAGGTATGGTTCGGCGTATGATTCGGGTATGATTCGGAAGTAGTACAAGTAGCAGCAGCAGCAGTAGTAGAAGTAGCACATAGTGCTTCTGCTTTCGTGTTTGCCTGTGCGTGTGTGTGTGTGTGGTGTGTGTGTGTGTGGTTGTGTGTGGTTGTGTGTTGATGTGCATATGTTTGTCTGTGAGGGTTTATGTGCTTGTATTTGTGTGTGTGGTGTGCGCGTGCACAAGGGCGTGCGCAAGGGCGCGTGGGCGAACGCGCGCGTGCGCGAGAGTGTGTGGTGTGTGTGTGTGTGTGTCTATCTGTCCGGGTGTCTGTTTGTGTGCCTGTTTCTCCCTGCGTGCTTGTGTGTTCGTGTGTGTGTGTGTGTGCGTGTGCGTGTGGGTGTGTGTGTGTGTGTGCGTGTGTTCGTGTGTGTGTGTGTGTGTGTGTGTGTGTGTGTGTGTGTGTGTGTGTGTGTGTGTGTGTGTGTGTGTGTGTGTGCGTGTGTGTGTGTGTGTGTGTGTGTGTGTGTGTGTGTGTGTGTGTGTGTGTGTGTGTGTGTGTGTGCGTGCGCGCGCGTGCATGTGTGTGTGTGTGTGTGGTTGTGGGTTTATGTGCTTGCGTTAGTGAGTTTGTGTTCACTTGTGTGTTTGCGGGTTTATGTGCTTGTGTTTCTCTGTTTGTTAATTTGTGTGTTTGTGGGCTTGTGTGCTTCTGCTTTTGTGTTTGTGTGTGTGTGTCTGTATTCGTATGTCGATGTGCTTATGTTTGTCTGTTTGTGTTAACTTGTGTGTTTGTGGGTTTATGTGCTTGTGTTTGTGTGTGTGTATGTGTGTGTGTGTATGTGTGTGTGTGCGGTGTGCGTGTGCGTGTCTTTGTGTGGTTTGGTGTGTAATGTTGGAGAGTGATTAATAAAGGCCCCCCCCCCTCAAACGAATTGGGGGTCAATAGCGAAAACCCCAAAAACAAAATGGGGGTCAGACTGGGACCTGCCTGAGTAGTTTTCCAGTAAGTATTGTTTAGAATTGGTTTAGTATTGGTTTAGTATTCCTCTGAGCTGGCTCACTACGGTTTAGAGTTGGTTTAGTATTAGTTCAGTATTCTTTTCAGTTGACTCACTTCAGTTGAGAATTGGTTTAGTATTGGTTATTCTTCTTGGCAGGCTGCCCTGGCCATTGTTTTTTCACAATTCCCTACCCTTAAACATTCCTGGGGGTTCCATGTGCCACCCCCTTGAAAATTTGTCAGGGTGCATCTTCTAGTAAAGGGAATGATGAGGAATTTGGGGGTTTGGGACAGGAAGCAATCCAGAGATTCTGGACATTTCAGGCTTTACCTGAGAACAGCAGGGCTTTCTTCTTGGCAGGCTGCCCTGGCCAATTTTGTTTTCACAATTCCCTACCCTTAAACAAACTGCATTATTGCCTTCCTGGGGGTTCCGTGTGCCACCCCCTTGAAAATTTGTCAGGGTGCATCTTCTAGTAAAGGGATTGATAGGTAATTTTGTGTTTTGGGACAGGAAGCAATCCAGAAATGTTGGACATTTCTGGCTGGACTCAAACGTTTCAACCCTCAAAAATAGTCCATTCTTGGAAGGATACATATTTTCGGGATTTCGGGCAGATTTGTTTCTGTAACACCTACCCTTTTTGCTTTTCAGGAGAGTGAATAATTTTGAGTTGTTGTTTTTTCTGTATTCACTCCCCTTTTATTAATCGCTATCTAACATTACTTGTGTTTGTGCCATAGTGTTTGTTTTGGTGCATGCGTTGATCGATGGGTGCGCTTGCGCGTGGTGTGTGTGTGTGTGTGTGGGTGTTTGACATGCCGACAAGTTTCGACATTCGCCAAACAAAAGCAACAAATCTATCTTGGCCTTAAGCTCTCTGGTGGCCGCTTTGACTTCAGCGTCAGACTTTCCTTCACTCCGAAGCCTTGAAGCGTGCTGAAGGATCCAGGCATGTACATGGAAATGTCTGGGACACTTGGTATCGTCCACATCCTGCCCTTTCCACTTTGTAAATGCCACTGCATCTGAATTATGAACACTTTGCTCACAAGCTGCGCCAAAGCGCACTGAGTAGTGAATAGTGGAACTCATTCTGGCCTCAAGACCAATTGCTGAACTTGCCGTTGCAAAGCGCGTCTTTGACGTTCAGCGCCGTCGGTGTCAATCACCTCTTCTCCAGCTGTCTCCTGCACTTCAGCCTTTTCCGCTTCAGCCTTCCTCTTCTTAAGCTTTGGGCTTGAGTCCAACTTGCTGGGTCGAGAAGGATTATCAGTTGGCCGGCCCTCTGGTAGATCTGCGACCGTCGCAGTGCTCTTCTTCTTTTTCACCATGGCAAGGCACGTCAGTGCCAATCATTGACGCAGCCTCACTGACTGAGAACCTCACCAAGAGATCCGTGCCTCTTGCAAAATAAATGAGTGCTTGTACAGGGTGAAACCTACCAACATGCACATGCATAGATGTCCGTTTCTGAGAGCAAGTTTTCTCCAGACCGCAGTTCAGTGGCAATCGGCAGTTGGGCTCATGCAAATATGTTTACTTCTCTGATTCATTCTTCGCAGCGGCGACAATCATCATGAATCTGATCCAGCAGGCAACAAACAATGCACCATGAGCAAAGAAGCGCTAGGGGCTAAGACGGGTGGGGTGGACCTAATCGACAGCATCATGATACCTACGGGCAGGCAAACGACATAGATCGCACAAAATTCCTGGCTGGCAGCAGTTCTGCCTTGCCTTTACTGGCTTGATATGGAGCACTTTGCACTTTTTTAGCTCCAAAGCCTTCCACTCGTCGAAAATTTGGCATCACAGCCGATAATACCGCTAACAAACGTGTCTGCCATATCTGCCATCTCATATTGATGCGGCGACTGCATCTGGGAAGGCATTAAGAATGCAGGGACTAAACTTGCTATCAACGAAGCCATCCCAAAATTTCCCAATGCTCATCCCACTGTGCCAAGGCAAGGTGCTGTACAATGGTATTGCCCTAACAAGCTCCCAAGCGAATAAAGCACATTCATACTTGTCATAAGCTGACTCGGCCCGCCCTCACTCAGGCAGCATCCTGCCTTTAACAGCAAAGGCTTCTATTGAGCACACCACTCAAGCCTTTCGTCATCGCACATCCCAAGAGTTAAGCTCTGTATGCTCTGTGAAAAGTATGCCATGAGCCCAACGGTGCATAGTCCTGTACAGTCCAAACAAAGCATCGCGAGCCAGTTTTTGCACTACACAACCCAGTCTCAGCCCAGTCTCACCACCGTGCAACAATAATTGTTTAAAACCAACCTCTGACAAGCGCGCGATTCCATTGTGTTCTCATTACTTGTGTCGCCGGGCCTGCTACAAGAACTTGACCAAGGTTTTAAGTGCATGATATGATGACCTAGCCTTCGTCATCATCGCCGGTGAGAACACCCATTATTCGACTTGACGCTGGCGTCAGCTCGTAGACAGAGTCGAACTCAGCGCCCATATCAAGCAAGGTTGTTCAGTTCTTGTTAGTATCCCTTCAGCAACTAAGTCCAGCCTGCTTCTCGGAATCGTTCAATAATGAGCCATAAGCAACAGCCTGCAAGACACTTTGTTGCGACTGCTCAGACACTACAAGCCAGTCTGCCACCTCGAGAACCAATCTGCGCAGGTCATCACTGGTCAGCTTCAGAGACTCTACCTGCATTTAAACAAAAAAAACCACAGGGATGGAATTCGGGCGCGCCACTTCTGGCCACTTTCGCACTCATCTAATATTCTCCCGACCTCCTTGGTTTTGATCGCCTGTTCCAGCTTCATGGTGGCTTCTTCGGGGGAGTTCACCTGCATACAAGCCAACAAAACATGGTTGCACACTGCCACCAAAGGATGGCACCATGCCCAGTACATTGACCAGCTTTTCCTTGAGAGCTCGCAAGTCTCCAAAAAGTGCCGTCACCTGCAGGTCCACACGACGCACGCTGTCCAAAGCAGAATGTCAGGCCTGTGATTCCATGGCCATCTGGGCTTCGACTGACGTCACAGACCACCTGACAAGCTTGGCCAGAGTGCTCGTTTGCCTCCAAAGACTGACAGCGCAAAATGCAGGGCCGGACATACTCTGAACTTCATCAGGACCGAAGGAGGTAATATATGCCTGAGTCTTCCGTGATTGCGCGTCACTTGTATATGTGGCAAGATGTGTCGGCCTTGAGGGAATCTGCAGCTCCTTGATCCTGACAGCAAAAAAATGGGTTGATTGGCTCTTTGCCAAACGGAGACAAACACATGCTCGAGACAATAATCTCTCCTCGGTGAACGGGTTACTCGTTGTCTCCGGTGCCTGGCCAGGTGGAAGTAGCAACTATGTAGCAAAGCTGGGTCTGATGCCTCTTCTCCCCATGCGCCGAAGTTGCCAGCCAGCTTCTCAAGCTGATACCTGCATTTTGCACGAGAATCGGTTTGGGTGGCAAAGTGATACATAATGATCAAGCAGTACATACAAAATGACCCAGTGTTGAAAGTACATTGTGCGATCTTTTAAGTCTGCTCTGGGCTTGTACCTCTGGTCCACACGTCGCAGGTAGTAACCAAACATGGCCGACATGGCATACACCTGATCCAGGGAAGGCTGGACTGCATGTGTAATGGAAACCAGCTGACCTGCCCAGCTTGAAAAAGAGCAATCTGCACGACTCCCAGGCCACCGGCAAATGTGGGATTCCCTGGCGACTTCGACACAGTATCCATGTGGGGTCTGTGGCATTTCTGCTGATCATCTGCTTATTGCAGCCCTCCCCTCAACCAGTTGCCTGCCTTGCTGTCCGATTATTCGGAAAAGGTGCTCCCGCACGAGCTCAAGCGCATCTTGCGAGTAAATGTCCGTAGTGAGACCCTGACTTGACCAGTTCAGCTTTGCTGCTGCTCAATGGGTGCGCTCTGTTCACGATATGAGGTCAGGCCTTGAGGTCGACATTGCCAAACTTGACATCACCTCCCTCCTTCAACGCTGGGATCAATGGTACCTCATTCCCAATCGTAACATCTTTAAACGTTGGCCGTATGATGGCGATACATGCCTGAGGCCGCTTCCTGTAGTTGTTGAAACTTGCGGCACACCTGCATATTCCACCACGTGGCGACTCGCAAGTCTCTGTTGGGCTTGCACCTTGAGGTAAAGCAGCTCGGTCACCGCACCTCACAAACCATGCAAACACAAGTGCAAGCTAAACCCTCCCTAGCCACTTAACACATCAGCAGTGCCTTTGTTGCCCATTTACAAATCCGATTAACCTTTACGTCCTAGATCCATGAGCCAGCCATGCAGTGCCGCAAAGACACGAATGCGCTCATTCATCTTGACTTCCTCGATGCGTCGTCTGAGCACAAGCTGGTCCTCGGCACTTGCAAACAGAAACATGAAATTGGGTCAGCTCTACCTCAGGTTGAGTTGACCGTTAAATGTCCAGGCTGTGGCAAGGTCCCCCGCAGCCCCATTGAGTTTCTCTGCAGTTTGGCGCTTTCCCCAAACGCCTCTTTGATGCTTTTGAGTTCTTGTTCAGGATTTAAAACATGGGGGAGCAATAATGCATTGGGACGTGGCTGTGACAGCATCTTGGCTCTCGGGCAGTTCACGGACGAGGCTACACCGATGGTATTAAACATTTGTGCGCTGCAATCTAAACGTCGCCGGAATGAAGAAGGTGGAATTTGGCAACAGTGCGTGAGTCATACGAAGGAACGGGTAGCAGCTGTGCAAGAGCTTTTAGGCGGTATGGGCCTGGTTGAGCCAGAGGGATATGCACCGGCACGGGAACACTACTTATTGAAAAAGTGGTGCAGTCTGTTTCGGGAAGCCAGCGCCGCTTCTTAAACAGAAACTTGCGAAACATCTCACTGAAACAGCTTGCAACAGCACGTTTTAACTATTCTCATTGAACGGCGCACGAGTTTTCTCCGGACAGCTTCGCCGCTTGCGCGTGCGTTTTCTTTTGACAACAAACAAGTGCGCAAGCTTGTCCCGGCCAGCCTGAGCCTTCGTCGGAAGCGAATGTCAAATATGACTACGCAAGCGACCAGGAGTGCCGTTTTGAAGAAAGCTGCTTGCGCACCACTTTGTGCAAATTGGTAGCGAGATCTGGTTTGGGCAGCCCTGCGGAGATGACGCGGCTCTGACCTAAAACAGCTTGCGCGCATCTTGCAAAAAGTGGCGGGGCCGACAGCCTGCGTCCCTTTCCTGGCGGCCAAAAGTGGCGCCCAAGCTTTGGCAAATTTAGTTAATGGTTGCTCAGAGGACAGGGCGGTACCATTCTCTGGAAGTGGCGCTCGGGCAGAACCTCCGTGGTTTGCGGACTTGACGGCAAACCCTGCACCTTGCTCCCCTGGCCCCGGTTATCAAGCAGCTGCATTCAGTTGCTATAGCGAAAACAAAAAAAGAAAAAAAGAAAAAAAACACCCAAAAAAACACGTGCCACTTGTCTTTGAGCGTTGGCAACAATCCATCACCCTTGACAGGCGGCTTCACTTCAGCTTTCCTTTCTATTATCAGTCTCCGTGTGCTTGAACGCTTTCTGTGAATTGGAGAAGTTTGTTGTATCCAAGACTCGAAGAATCTGCAAGACAAGGGTGTTGAAACTTTGTGTCTATCAGAAGGACAACCAGGATTCTGAGAATCGGTTTCAGGACGAGCAAAGGACATTGGAAGAACATCCAGGATTCGCAGCCTCATTAGCAACAGCTTCAATATGACTGAGTCACCTAATGACGGCTCTGAAAGTCTGTGAAAATGGACCTTGCATGTCTTGCTGACACGTCTCATCCTTGGCAGGGGATTCCATGACCTCAGCTCTGCAAGCACTCGACAAACAGCTCTACTTAGCTCCATGCGTTTGAGCTCCGGACTTTCTTCTTTTTCTCCTCCTCATACTTCTCTTCTTGGAGTTTCTGCCCAGAGTTGACAGTGGCATGTCAGCCAACAGAACACACCATGCAATATAAGTATTTGTCAACATGTTTCTGAACTATTAGTGAACTGAAGTGCCTCCTTATAGTGTTTGGTTTTCTCCTGAAATGCAATACTGATGTGTTTGGCATTCAGGAGTCCACATGCAATGCAGAACGCCCTAGGAGAACACACAACAAACAAATGGAAGTGGAAAAACACTGGCTCGCTTGACGGGGCTCATCGATTTCTGCGAAAGCGCGTTGCGGTGCTGTGCGAGGGTGTGTGGGTGCGTGGGTGCATGCGTAGGTGTGTGGCTGGGTGCTGGCTCGCTCGTTCACACGCATGCATGCAAATCAATATATTTGGACCTCTGCAAGACCAAATTGAACGCCTGCCAACGCAACTCAACACATTTAGTAAATTTTAGGGCCGCGTAAAATTGCAATTTGCCAGTACAAGCGTAGTACGTGCCGGCACTTTGGCAGCTCCAACTGGACAATCACACCTTCCCAGCACATGTCGTGCAGCACACGAAGTGCACACTTGGGCAGCCACAGCTAGAACATCGCAACCTGTCAATGCAAGTAGAGTAGAGGTACGCCTTGGCAGCTTCAGCTCGAAATCGCGCGCTACTCAAAGCAGCTCCAGCTCTAGAAGCGGGAGGGCCTATAAAGGAAGGACGAGCCCGGAAGGCCCTCACGGTTAAATCTAAAAAAACAAAAAAACATGCCTACGCAAAGTCTACGCGAAGCCTACGCACAATTTGCCTGACTTGTTGATTTTGGGAAACGGCCTATTTGTTGGACATGTAGGGCTTTGCAAGCCGTCAGACCATCCCCAACGCCTCACATCATTCACCCCTTCATCAAAGCAAAAGTCACGTGACATGAACCTATCAAATCGCCGCCTACGCGACTGCCTACACGAGGCTCCGCGAAATGCCTACTCCCGCCTAAGCGGTTGTGGCCCTGTCAGTCAAATGCCTACGCATGTAGAACATGTCGCCACGAAGCTGTGGGCCTTCATCCCTAATGCAACGCTGCCCACATGATCTTAAGCGGGTAGAGACACGCATGGGGACCAATCATCTTCTGCTTGTAATTATATACTGAGTTATCTTGCTGGAGTCGCACAAGCCAGAAACGCTTGGCAGTTTGAGGGCATCGCTGGCATTGCGCCGTGCACGGCATGGGTTGGCTGACTCCCATAGCTGGGAAAGAACATACTCCATCATACGGTTTGCAGAACTTATTGGCTGATCCACGACAGTTGCTAGGACTGGGGATTCTTGCCGAGTGTTGGCTGGTAGGAGGTCGGTGAAGCAACTGTTGGTAGAAGTTCCGGGTGCCAAAATTCGCGTGGAGCTGGTGATTGAAGGAACAATTAATCAGAGGGATTCATGGCGGCGCGTCCTTGCCGGTGAAGATGCTCCCACTGCTGACATCACCACTTTGTTGAATAATTAGCCAGTGGCCTCCAGCTCTTCGTCCACCGTCATGTCAAACAGCATGGGATTCTCCTGCAGAAGCAACAGCATGCTCTCCAGCTCTGCTGCATTTGTACACCCTCCACTTGTGCTCTGACACTCTGGCCTTCATAAGATACAATGCCTTCTGCGCAACTCCTGTGTAAACATCCGCTGGACCAGCCTGCATGCTGGAACCCGACAGATTCCCCTATTCCTCTTTTTCCTGATCAATGTCAATCCATGCAATGCTGACCTGAAGCATACATGACATGGTAACTTCACAAACCTCAAATGCGCTTGTCTCCCACCTTCCACTTGTCTGGCAGATCAGAGCCGCTCGCTCTCAGGCAGCATCTATGGGGAACCTGCAAACATACATCATTGTGCCGCCAAGTGTACCAGCCATGTGCCTTCGCCGCCTTTCCGTACAAAGGATTGGCAAAGGCCAGCCAAAGATTTGCCTTGGAGATATTTACAGAAGTGCTTAATCAAGCACTCGCAGCGCCTTTCGGCTTTGGTAACGTTCACTTGTCTGGACTGAATGTGAGGTAAATGCGGCCACAACTATAGCAGCAAGTCCTTGGCTGGCAATTTGCTGGGGTTGGGGCTTCCTACCACACAACAAGCACGTGCAAGGACATACAACGCAAAGCAATGCCAACAAACAGTCAACCAGTGCGTAGTGCGTGGTGCAAGGTTTGAAGGCGTGCGTTAGGCTGCCGACTGCAAGCTCCTCGCCTCGCTTGACCTGATCTCTCCATCATCCAATGCTCTCCTGCTTTGCGGTTTGGCTGCATGTGTTGAATGTTCTAAGCCAGCCACTTCTGCCAAAATTAATTGCCATTGCAAGGCTACGGCAGTTGCCAGTCATGACTTCTGAAACACATTCAGCTGGGGAACCCGGATTCCCGGATACAACAAGCTCATATAAATATGCAATCAATATTTAGCCCACTTAGCATGAAAGCAGACTTGTCTAACAGGCAATTGTGATGTTGATCAGCAACTCAAAGTCTTCAGGCCGCGGAGCCAAGCAAAGCCAAGCCAGGTTCATGCGTGGTGCTCTGTGCTGAAAGGTCAGGGATGTCAGGGTCGTCAGCAAATTTGTCCCACCAGAGCATGTGACTGCACAGTGTTTGTGCGCCGATCGGCCCTAGCCGTAAGAGACAACACTCGCGGTGAGACTGGTTTACCATTTCTGCGTCCAGGCTATCTCTGTGCTTGTGCTTAAGACGCCAAGCGATTTGTGAAATCAGTCTGGCAATCGTGTGAACTTTCAGTCAGTATGCCCGGCACGCTCTTGGACTCATGGGATCGGCAATGCTCTCCTGGGCAACCAAAGCAGCAGCCACGCATCTTGACGCGCCCGTCCTCCATGGAAATCTCGCTGCCCATCGATGCCAATCCTAGCATGGGTATAGACGGAATAGAATGGAGTTAGTTAGAACTGCTGGATTTTCCAGGCGGGTCCTGAGGCTCCTGGACTTATAGAACCATCCAAGCCCGTCGATTGCCTGATCACTCGTGCGCAAGAATCTGCCATCACCACACCCACAGGCACCGCGCACCTTGACAGCTCCTCATGAAGAGAGAGAAGCAAGGTAGACAGGCCTGCACCAAAGTCTCCTATGAACCCCTCATCCTTCATGTTGTCATTCAGATCTGTTGCCTTGTAGATTTGGAGCAGCTGCATGAAATGCATTGACAATAGTGCCTGGTGCAAGGCTGGTACAGCACAATCTGCCCAACCAGAACTGCCGTCTCAGCTCCGGACCTAGAGTCTTCTGAGCATCAATATCATGGAAAGTACCCTCTGTCAGTACGGCCTGTGCTCCAACTGCCTTCAGAAAGCTCAACCAATCTCGAGCCAAGGCCCGTGCGCTCAAGCAACCGCTTGCTCTCAGATGAGCGAACACATCCGACAACAAGCAAAGTGGTGGCATGGCCTGCGGCACCATGCTGCCAAATATGGCCAAACTGGAGCTTGAACAACAAAGAATACAGCAGTGTTTCGGCCTCACGCTGACCCTATGAAGTCTCCTGCCTTCTTTAGGTGTTGCAAAAGACGATCTTGTTGACATGCTCTCCGAGGTGTGCTCACCTTTCGCCTGGTGAAGAAGCTTCACTTTTCAATCGCATGTCCAAGCGTGGGCCTTGTCAAAGATGACCGTGCTGGCCATGGCTCTTTGATCTTCTGCCGGAAACAAGCTCCAGAGCATGCCAGCTTCAAAACTTAGGGTTTCGGACACAGTGAGGGCTGTCTTGTCCACGAAGATCATGTGGCCTCTACATTTGTGCGCAGGCCAAGTAGTGTCTGTGCGTGAGCTTGGCACCCCAGGGGCTCAGTGACAAGGTTGCGGGGTCTGTGGGTGCCTGGCGGAGCTGGTTCCCACACAGCTGAGACCGGGACAAGTGCCTCCAGCACAGCGCGTCCTTTTTGTCCTTGAAACAAAATCTGCTTTTGGCGCACGTGCTTTTTGCTTTTGACTTGGGGGCCAAGCCAGGTAGCAGCCATTTGTTCCATGCGCCTTGTCTTGCAGCATGAGAACAAAGGCATCTTGATCTACGCTGCACAAAGCAGCAAACACAGCAGGGCGTGCGGCAGCAACCCGGCAGCATGTTCACGTGCAGACTCGTACCTTCCAGAACCAGCTAAACCGAAACTCAACATGGAGAATAATGAAGAAAGCAGGCTTGAACAAAGAGCATGCTGACAGGGGCACGATGACAGCCTGGACCGAAGCTGCAGAATTTCATCTTGCAATGCCCTCTCCTGGCGTGATTGCTAGCCCGCTGTTGTGCCAAGGGCAGGCACATGCCGGATGATCGCGGTCTTGCACCCAGTCTGCGTTGATCATGCCAAGATTGGCGACGCCCTGCAAGGATTCTTGTACCAGCAAACATCCTTTTCATTGGGCAGAACAAGTGCATGAAATTCTGCTTCCAACATCCACGCATTCTCACATCCCTTCGCAGGGCCGGTCGTTGATATTGGTGGCAAGCGTCGGCCAATCACCACATTTAGCTCAACATCCTGTCTAGTGACCAGCTCTTGCCTCGTTCTGAAAGCTCGTATCTGCAGTGACATCCTCACCTCGGCAAACAAAGCAAAGCCCTTTTGAACAGTGGGCCTGCCGTCACATCCGACACCACACTTGGCTGCAAGCACAGCCTCAGCGTGCGAGAAACAGCCCCACGAACCCAGCACGGTTTGGATTCTTGTTCAGCAACAAAGCAAGGGTGGCAACAACACCAAGTTTCATACCCAGAATGACAAAGTGGCACGTGGGCATAGCCAGAATTAAACAATCACCACACACAAACAAACAGGGCTTTCAAAATGAAAGCACACACAGAGAAGGATGAACTTCCAAAGGAGCAACCCGTGGAGTACAAGACACAGCTCTGGTCCCAAAGAAAGCCCACACACGGACAATTGCCCAGCACTGCGCCGGTAACTGATGCTGCTCTCTTGAGCGGAGCTCGACGGGCACAGTTTGCTGCGGATCGGCACGGCGAGACGGGCAAAACGCATTGGTCGGATCCTTGTCACCAAGTCGGAGTGGCGGGTCACGTGTACGCCACTGGCACAGCCCCTCGTTCAGCTGTTTAGTCCGTGGCCGATTGACGGCGCTAAGCGATCTCTCTGCCTGGCCACTGGTGGCTGCCTTGCCCGTCTGCAGGGAGTGCGTTGCGCTTGTTTTCCCGTGCAGCTGTAGCGAGTCGCAGTGTGCTTTGCAAAACAGATAAGCTTGATACGCGTGTTTGCCAATGGAGAGTACAAATTCTGGCGCTCGCTGCAGTTGCAAGTGTCAAACCACAGTTCTGCAAACCGTTGACAAGTTCGCACTCGGACCCTGGGCGACACACACACACACAAGCCTACACCTCCGAAATGTTTTGACACTTTAAGTTCGCGCGAGATGCCTTTCTCCTCTGCACTTCGTCTTCGAGATGTTATAACATTTCATTCTGCATGTTGCGAAGAATGACAGATTTATGTTCTTCGATACTTTGACATAACCTGCCGTGGATCGACCAGAAAACTTGGGAGGCACAACTCGGCTTCTGTGAGGCTGACTGCTTCAGCAGTGGATTGCGGATACCTTACCCTGGCAGCCCACAGCCACCCACACAAATTGCCAAGTTCAGCCCCAAACAAATTCGTTCAAACCCCGTTAAAGAGGAAGCCACAAAGAGCAAAGCAAAAACCCGTCGACACAGCAAACACAGCCTTAAACCCGTTGCCCGAGCATTGCAGTGCTGTAGATACAACAGCTGGAAAGACCCGTATCCCAAACACTGGGCTCCGCTGACAAGCGCCGCAACTGTGGACAGGCCCTCCGGAGTAGAAGCTTGACAAACAATCAAGACACGACGAGCGTGAGAAATCACGTGCAGGGAACAAGCTGAGGGCCAAACGCTGCCTTGGCTTGCGCCTGCAGGCCAGCAACAAGCACTGCTTGTAGATAAGAATGACATGTCTGCTTCTCAAGTTGAAATAAGTCAATTATTGTCGTCGTGCTTGTTCTTGCATTTGTTCCGTTCTTGTTCATGTTCACGTCGCCACTACTGCAACGGCGCGGAGCATTTTGCCCATTTTTGTTTCAACCCCGCGCCTCATTAGACGCCGCGATGACTTTGGGGGGGTGGTGGGGGGGTTGGGGGGGGTGGGGGGGGGGGCTGACGGTGGGGTGGGGTGGGGCGGGGCGGGGTGGGGTGGTGGGGTTGGGGTGGAGGGGGGTGGGGTGGGGCGGGGTGGGGTTGGGGTGCACGGGGGGGGAGGGGGGTGGAGGGGGGTGGAGGGGGGTGGGGTGGGGCGGGGTGGGGGGTAATAACGTACGGGGCGCAAGTTACTCGGACGCTTTCGTTACTCGGACGCTTTCTGTTTTTTGGGGTTTAGTGCCCGACAGTTCGCTGCAGTTTGTCGAAGAGAGTCCCCTTGCCTCGAGATCTTCGAAAGGCTGGCAATACGTGAAGAAGTTGCTGCCACCTCGTGTCACGCTAAGAAGAAAGGCGGGCTGCATCTCGAGCTGCGGCGGTACTTTTGCAGTTTCCAGTGGCTGCGCGACACGCATGGCGGCGTGACCTTGTTAATTACTGACATTGCCTACTCTTCTTCTTGCGCTTGCGCGTGTTACTGTTATTGCACGCCCGACAGGTTTGGGGTTGTCAGATTTTAAGTAACGTCCGACCTCCACAACCAGCACAGCCCGCCGACAGATCCTGGGACAAACAGATGTGACGGACAGATCTGACGGACCGACACCCAGGCCAAGAGGGCAGCCGTGACAGCCCAAAGCGGCCAAACCAGCGTGACAGCCCAAAGGCCAGGACAGCTGAGGCTCCTGCCAGTCGAGAGCCTTCACGTTGTCCATGCAGCTCTTGGGAGCGTCTGAGCTTCCGCCGCAAGCGCTTCCGCTCTGCTTGCTGCCAAAAAAAAGCAGCCGACTAGCTTTGCAGAGTGGGATGTTGAGCACGCTGCTCTTGCTCGCGCTCTTGTTCTCGCGCTTGCTCTCGCCGCGTTCTTGTTCTTGTCTTTGTCCTCTTGTTTGTTGTTCGCCGCGTCGCTGCGGGGGTTCTTACTTTTACTGCGTCGCGGCGCCGGCTCCTTTTCTGCCACATGCTCCTCTTCCACCTTCTCCTCCTCCTCCTCCTCCTCCCGCCTGCTCCC